CTAATTCTTTTTTTATAATATTCCTTGATGTACGAAGATGGAGAAAAATTTAAAAAATTGCATAAAAAAGTCTAGAAACAACACTTTTCTATATTCCCATACAAAAGATTCGTAATAATACTTAAAAGTCAATTTGAACTTTAATACCATACCATAAAGTTTAAGTGTTAGTGGAGGGGTTCCGAGAAGGTAGTATCGTATAAATATTAATGTCAATATTTATACACTGGCAGATAGCTGATGTTATAAGGAGTAACTTGGGCTGCTTTTAGTTTAGAGTTCCGCGAAAAACTACTACTCCACGCGGGCGAAGTCGCGGGGAACAGCTTGTTGTTAATATTTCTAAATGTTGTGTAAGTACACAAAATTTAGTTCTTTTTCCTTTTTATTATTTCTATATACCTGGTCAGGTCATAAGTATTGTCACACAATAAAAACTTTTCTTTTAGAATGCTGGCCACAAAAAAGTTTATTGAATTCGAATTTCGAATTGTTCATGAAAATAAAACTGTATACTTTTTAGAATTTTACTCATTTTTAAATATGGAGTGGACGCTTAAAGAAGACCGTGTTGCAGTTATTGCGTTGCATCGTTGCGGTTACGCGCCAATTCAAATTTTTGACATACTGACAAATTTTAATATAACCAAAAGCTTTGGTTTATCGTACCATCAAACGATACAATGAAGACTCTAGTGTAGATGACAGGTCAAGAAGTGGTCGCCCTCGGTCTGTTAGGACTCCAGCAGTGATAAAAGCTGTGAAGGCGCGAATTCAAAGTTAAGCAGAAGTTTCAGGGTTAAGCAGAACCATGATGAAAAGGGTGTTAAATGAAGACTTAGGGCTTCGGGCATATCGAAGAAAAACAGGACATCGTTTGAATGCTCGTCTAATGGACCTGAGACTGAAGAGATGCCGGGCTTTGTTGAAGCGGTACGCGGGAAAAAAATATCGGGAAATTCTTTTTTCGGATGAAAAAATTTTTACCGTAGAAGAGAGCTACAACAAACAAAATGATAAGGTGTACGCACACAGTAGTGAAGAAGCGAGCAACCGTATTCCGCGTGTCCAACGAGGTCATTTTCCATCCTCGCTCATGGTATGGTTGGGAGTTTCTTATTGCGGCTTAACAGAGGTACATTTTTGTGAGAAAGGTATAAAAACGAATGCAGTTGTGTATCAAAATACAGTCCTGACGAACCTTGTGGAACCTGTTTCTCATACTATGTTCAATAACAGGCACTGGGTATTCCAACAAGATTCGGCGCCAGCTCATAGAGCGAAGAGCACACAAGACTGGCTGGCGGCGCGTGAAATCGACTTCATCCGGCAGGACTGGCCCTCCTCCAGTCCAGATTTGACTCCTTAGACCTCCGTTAGATTACAAGATATGGCAACACTTGGAGGAAAAGGCGTGCTCAAAGCCTCATCCCAATTTGGAATCACTCAAGACATCCTTGATTAAGGCAGCCGCCGATATTGACACGGACCTCGTTCGTGCTGCGATAGACGACTGGCCGCGCATATTGAAGGCCTGTATTCAAAATTACGGAGGTCATTTTGAATAAACTTTAGTGTCATAAGAATCTATGTTTTGTTAAGTTCATTTTGGTATATAAATGGTTACATAATGAATAAACTTGTTTCAATTATTTTACATTAAACTTGTGACAGAATTTATGGCCTGACTAGGTATTTTCTTTTGAATAGTATATATATCTTTACAGTCTATCAAAAGTCCACTGTTGAACATAAACATGATTATAGTTATTTGACATAGTTTCAACGCTTGGAAAGCGGGTTGTTAATCGCTGTTTTTTTTTTATTTAGCTGTTATCAGGAAAATGCTGCTGTTTATCTTCTTTGATGTTTCCCTATGTATGGTATGTTAAAACATTATTGATTTTTTTTTGTAAAAACAAAACGACACGAGGAAATTTTTGTTTATTATTTAATATTTTTATTCTTAATTAATATTTAAGTACATACAAAACATATTGTTATTTATTAGCAATATCACACTTTGTGCTAGTAGCGTCTTCACTAAGTGCCGTCGAAATCCACAGTTTATTGAATGTCCAGTAAAATCGTCGATGCGCCGTTGAATACAGAATGATGATTCTGTTTTTACGCCCTTTCCGCCCGTAGTTTTTAGTCACAGAATGTATTTTCAAGATAAATGAATTAATCATCTGAATTATAAAAGAACATTTTTTTATGGTAACAATTAAGTTTTTTGTATGAATATAAGTGCTGTGAATATAAATAAACCCATAACAGGGGAAATGGAACAATATCTGGTAACCCAGTGAAAGTACCTCCCGCCTATTTCTATCTCAAAAGCATACGCGAATGCTTTATCTAGTCAATCCTCTATCTACGATCTGCTTAGACGCCTTAAGATAATATTGCCAACTATCTGATGGCTCAAGTTGTGATAAATGAAAACATGGCTTAAAAGACAAGCATCCAAGCCAAAAAATCTTGAAAATAAGTAAATGAAAATATGGTAATATGGAAATTAATAAAATCTTTTGTGGAATCGGAAAACTGAGCAAGCAAAAATTTGAGATATTGAAAAGTATGAAATAATTGATAGATAGAAATAATTTTTAGTGTTATATGGAAACAATTGATAAACAAAATAATAAATGACTGTATAAAGTGTTGACGTTTCGTTTATAATTAAATATATGAAGTTAAAAATTTGGTGAGGTTATGTTGACATATGATTCGAGAATATATACACTGTAGTCTCACGCCTACACGTTTATATACATATACATATGTTGAACGTGTACTTGGCGTGAGACATTACAGTGTCTCCGGATCTGTATTTTTATAATGTTTCGGAAAATTATTGGTTAAGTCTTCCGTGTGTATGTGCAAATACAGCATTTAGAAACATTTAAGTCTAATTTGATGTACATATAGACAGTAATTTTCAAACCTATTCAAGTCTTCATGCAAATTATATACGTTGTCGATTGACTTTATAGGACTTAACATTTTCATATTATCGGCGTACAGTAGGATTTTTGAGTACTTGAAATATGAGAAGATGTCATTAGCAAAGATGAAAAAGAAAAATATGAAAGAGTAAAGGCCCTAGCAAGGAGCCCTGTGGGACACCAGATAGTTTTGGCATGGCCTTAGAGGTGTAACCTTTAAGGGCAACTATCAGACTAGCCTTTTGGACGTAGCAGGTTAACCACCTATATAAATTACCTCGTATTACCCACTGATTGAACTTTATGCAAAAGTAGCAAATAGTCTATTCGATCAATGCATTTCCTATAGTCTGTGTAGATGACATCGACTTGAGATATACCGACATAGGCTTGGATTTAGAATCATTTGGCAGGAATTTGGGGGGGGGGGGGGGGGTAAGGTGTTTTAATTGGTAGAGTCCCAGATTGTTGGACGTTTTCGGGAAAAAAAACTATTATGTAATATTACTGTGAAAGCTAGATAGTAGTAGTTTTGTGTAAGTGCGACAAGGACGAAAGCCCATGTCGGATCTATGGTATTTTTATTCTTCGGTGGTCTATGCTCTCTGTCAAGTATCAAATCGCATGACGTACTAATTTTTATGCATTCCGCCCAAGTTACTCTTCGATTTCGCGGTTCGTTGCACTTCTTTCGTGAATGTGTGCTCTCCAGTATATTATTGTAGCTTTTATCGTGCCCAGAAATACTTGAGTACACAGAAATACTTTCAGTTGAAATAGGTTAGAAGGTTACTACGCTGCACTTCGCTCCCGCCACAGCCTTCGTGGCTTTTTTTACCTCCCAAAAATACTTGAGCACTCGATAAATCTTACAGTTGTGATAACAGACAGCACCGATCTCCCCTTCTGCGGGAGGGGATATATTTTATCATTTTGAGGTCAGGTCTATAGGATTTTCGTTTTGATTTTCTCAAGGTGCACTCAAGGGCACACTCCCTCTCTCCCACCTTCCCCTCCTCCTAAACGATTCTTAATAACCCTGACATATGTACTATATGCCTACTTAATACAAGTACTAATCTTATATTAAGTAGGCATTACATAATATAAGATTAGTACTTGTTGACCGCGCCTTGACGTAACCGTGTTGTTGAAAGCTAAGTGTATGTTTTAGGGCAGCACATAGTTGATCATAGACAATTCTTTCTAGTACTTTTGCTAATAGACATAATTTGGAAATGGGTCGGTAGTTGTCAACTCTTTATAAATTGGTGTGACTTAAGCTGATTTCCAGACTCTTGGCATTAAACCTTCTGACAAAGAACGCCGAAACAACGTACTCAAAGGAAACGCAAGGCTCAGCTGATTTTCTTAAGTCAAGTGATTATAAAAGGTCGAATATTTCATCAAATGTGACCCCTATATCCCCTATGTGGTATTATACTAGTGTACTATATGGTAGTATATGCAGATCTTGCATTAGTAGGATGACACTAGTACTGGGAGGTCTACTTACACTGAACGTATTTATAAGGTCATTGACAATTTGACATTATACGCGAAACAATCGAAAACTGAGGTGCTGTGGGCGGATCACTAATCAAATAATATATAACTATGGCGTCAGTAACTAGGTACCTAATTAGATACCTAGATCTACTTATAAATAATAATATCTCACCTTTCGGTATCCTTAGGAACAGTAAAGAATAAAAAGTCGGCATTCCTATTGTTATTTAAGCACCCGTATGCTATGTAGTATGCTATGTTATACCTTTTGGGTTTTTGAGTGGCCATAATTGAATAAAAACTCAAAAATTAATATCAAAAGTGCCTAAATACTTCGAGGAATATACTTTTTTGTTAACGTAAGGTGTGCGTCAACACGAGCGCGCGCGTGACTACCTCACTGAATTAGCCTCTTGTAGGCGGCCGCGCAGAGTAGGTATATTTCATGCCTAAAGCACGGAGTGAGACCGGCCTGATACTACCCACAAAAAAAAAAAAAGAAAAATCAAGGTGTTTTATTTTCATTAAAACGATATATTAATAACATTAACTGATTTAATAACGAGATTATTTTATATATTTATATAATTCACGGGTTTCTACTCCTGTATCCGCCAAATAGAGATAGTGCGATGTGATGGAACCAGTTTTTACGCTTAAGTTCCTGCTCGTATTTTGCGTCGCGACGGAATTGCTTCCATTCTTCTCGCAATTGTGGCATACGGGGTCCGTAAGTGGCCTTCTTACCAAAAGCTCTTTTCACGGTCTGCAATAAACAATATGCCAATAAAAATAGTGATATGTATTATGGTAGAATAAAGGTGACACACAGTCCTGATGGTAAGTAATATATTGATATCTACATCTATCCTCGATTAAAAATCAAAATATTGAACCGTTGTTACCCCTTAACTACTACGAATACTTCGTTACCAGTAAGAAGGGTCTCCGGTTCTCTACACTCACCATACGAAATGCAGCAGCATGTAGCTGCTATTTTACGCTAGCAATCTGTGAGAGCTCCTACCCAGGTCGAGCCGACCTGTTCGTACAGTACTGCAACCATAATTTAGCTGCAGTGTGGCTCTACAACGTTAATAGTACTTATATGTGGAAGCATTAATAATAATATTTTTTATAAAATACTAGCTGGTACCCATCGCGTTGCAGGAACAGAAGAAATATTTGAGGAAACATCGTTTTAAATTTGGAAGAAATATTATTTAATTGGGAATAATAATACATTAATTGAATTTGAATGATATATCATAACTTTCAAGTAAATATGTTGGTAAGAAACGCGCGCCACCTACTGTAAGTTAATTGTACTATGCCTATAACCTTGGTGTAAGTGCAAGCAATATGTTGAAAAAAGTTTTACTGCAATCTAATGAACGGTATGGCAGCGCATAAAATACAAATAAACAAACATAATTTTTTATATATTTATAATCTATTTTTACGTTATAACAGAACATACTCAATATTATATTTTCCTCACAATTATCTAAATAAATTGTAATTATTTTTTCATAGAGATTAAATTAATTAAAGAGACAAGACAGGACAAGACAGTTCTCTCTTGATGTTAACCTAATAGTACCCAAAGAATTCTGTAGAGACCGAAATAGGTTAATATATAGGCATTAACACTTCCCAACCAAGCTCTCTCAATTTTTGTTAAGTGGCCAAAGATGTTGGTCTGACGTTATCATGATGAACCATGACCACTCCTTTTCTGTTGATCAATTCCGGCCGTTTTTTCTCAATTTCGTGCTTGATTATCATTAGTTGTTGGCAGTAGAGATCCGAATCGATGGTTTTGCCTGGCGGTAAAAGCTCATAATAAACGAGGCCCTTCCAATCCCACCATACACACCATGGTGGGTGTAAGGTGTTATTGCGTGTTAATCCGGGTTTCGTTATAATCTCTGGAGCTTGACTACCCTTTGAAAATGATCTTTTTCGCACGTTCTTGTCTTAGGTGATCTACTTTTGACCACCAGTGACCAATCTTTTCAAAAATGGTTCCGTTTCATTACGTTTCAATAGAGAATCGCAAATTAGTACACGATTCATTAGGTTTCTTTCAGTGAGCTCGTGTGGTACCCAAATATATAGCATTTTTGTATAGCCAGACATTTCAAATGTGTCAAAACTGTTTTGTGGTCAATTTTTAATTCCTCTGCTATGTCGTAACTAGATCTTGCTCCAGTTTTTCAAAATTTTTTACTGGAAATGAGACCCTTTTTACTGGAAATGAGGCATTCCATCTTCTTCATCATCTCACGGGTGACAACGCATCTGCATTTTGATTTGTAATCGAGAATAGATGTGGATGTCTAATGGGCCGCAGCAACCACTTACCATCAGGTGGACTGTGTGCTCGTTTGTCTCCTTATCTTATAAAAAATGGCATCGACTTTATCCGTATGAGGGCGGCCATAGCTAGCTGCATCTTTGACATCAAAATTTCGGGACTGAAAATGCTTGAACTTTGTGCTACTCTGCATTTTCCTCTTTTTTGTAATAAAACTTCAGAATCTATCGAATTTCTTCGTTAGATTCACTCATTTTGGGGGACAGGCGGACAGAGAAACAATTGAAAAATGGCGGGAATGTGCATTTTTACTTTTTATTTTTCTTTTTCTTAATGCCCTATATCTATTGATATTAAAACCAGCCATATACAAACGGTACAAACAAAGAGATTTTTATTCCATTTTATACAAACAAAATATGAAGAAACTTTTCCTCGACCTATTATTATATAATAGGTTAATATAAGTTAAGAAAGAGACATATGGTATACATATATATTTTCTTAACTTTAAGTAGGTTAACTTTTTTTACGTAGCTGTATCGTAACATCTTGCTTGTTAGTTGTATCGTAACATCTTTCAATTATGTTTATATTTAGCCCATAAAGTGTCTACTGCTGGTGATGGGTATTAGAGCGGAGAGGATTTTAATGCAAATGACGGAAAAAGGCGTTTACCGCCTTGATTGTTGCTCGCCATCAGTCGTTGCTTACATCTGACATAAACGAGATAGTTATCTTTCGTTTCATTATCTTTCGGAGGATATGAGATCTTCCTGTCATTTTCCTTAGTAACGAGTGTTTTCTTTAAGTATATCTACACTTATAATAAGTCTGTAGAAAGTTGTGTATGTACTTCTAATATTTCCTGGAAAAAACAAGTCCAGGGGACTAAATAAAGGACACTGAAGCCAAATTAGTGTTTGATAAACAACCAGACATAGAAACACAGACTCAGTGGCTACAAGTAATCCAACTTTACTAATTTTCGCACGAAGCAATATTAATGAGGAACACCATTGAGGTCAATTGAAAGAAGAAGATTTTTTTTTCTATTATAATATAGTACTCTATATAATCTACTATTAGGTCCTTACATATGAAATTAGCGTTTTGTACGGGAGGAATATAAAGTCAATTTATTTTTGTTTAATATATTTAATTAATCAAAGTGCATAGATAACAACGGTGCATCTGTTGTTATCTATGCACTTTTGCCATCTCATAGGTAGTTCATTGATCCCTTCACTAAAAAACATGGGGGCGAGAATCAATAAACTCTTTGAAGGCGGTTTGGACTGCCGCATCGGAGTTCAATTTTTTTCCTTGTAAGAAGTTCTCCAAATTCCGGAAAAAATGGTAATCTGTTGGAGCAAGGTCCGGAGAGTACGGTGGATGTCACAGACATTCCAATTGTAGCTCATCTAACTTAGTGGTTGTTTGTTGTGCAGTGTGTGGTCTTGCGTTGTCGTGAAGCAGCAGTGGCCTAGAGCGATTGACCAATCTCGGTTGTTTAGCAACTAGTTCTTCCTTCATGATTTGCAGTTGCTGACAATAGATATCTGCCGTAATCGTTTGGCCAGATTTTAGAAAGCTGTAGTGAACGACACCGGCGCTAGTCCACCAAACACTCACAAGTAACTTTTTCTGAGACAATTTTCGTTTAGGACAGGATTTGGCTGGGTCTCCAGCGTTCAGCCATTGCGACGAGCGCTTCCGATTATCGTACAGTATCCACTTTTCATCACAAGTAATGATTCGATTTAAAAACCCTTCATTATTGTTTAGATTGAGCAAAGTAACACAGCAGTCGACGCGTGTTTGCAAGTTCGATTCACTCAATTCATGAGGTACCCATCGTTCAAGTTTTTTTACTTTCTTGATTTGCTTCAAGTGGATTAATAGAGTTTTATCACTTACCCCGAAGCCTGCAGCTATCTCTGAAGTGCTTTGTGATGGATCCGCTTCCACAATAGCCTTTAATTCTTAATTTTCCACTTTGGTCTCTGGTCGTCCACGGGGGTAGTTCTGAAGGTCGAAATTTCCAGAACGAAAACGTTGAAACCAAAAACGTACTGTACATTCTTTTGCGACACCAGCGCCGTACACATCATTAATCCTTCGAGCTGTTTCTGCAGCACTGGTGCCACGGTAGAACTCGTAGTCGCAAATATACCGATATTTCATGTTTTACATTGTGCGGTAATTAGCGACGCCAAAGAAAAAATAATGAGGAAGAAACAAATGAATGACTGTTTTCAAAACTCAAATGTACCAGCTAAATTAATTTATAATTTTTAATTTTTATTTAGAATTTATAATTTGGAATTCGTTACCAAAGAGGAAATATTTCAGATCGAAGTGGTCAGTATGACGAAACTCTAATTTCATTTGTAAGGACATAATATTATGATTCACATTTGCTTCAAATAACACACTTTTGGAAAATTTGTCCCTACTTACCACGCTGGACTGGCGGGTTGTTCACCCAAAATAAAATATTATTATAACCTACCTCAACAAAGTTTTTAGATCTGTATTTCCATAGAGCCTGAATAATAAATATTGGTATCAGTGCTATTCCTATGTACTGTAAAGCGCTCCCAGCAACTGGAAATAAAATAAAGTTATTAGTTAACTCTGTGAAATGTTATAAGTTAACCTATTACTTAGTAATAGTAAAGTTATTTTTTATATCAACAACATAATTTTGTAAAAGATAAACGCCTAGTAGATATTCTATTTTTAAATACTGTTGGAAGCTATCCACTATGGGATTAAAGTGCTGGAAGTGTACACGCAAACTCACGAAGCACTCACTTTTTTATATACAATGGCTACGCATACTGGACGGGTTATGTCGAACTCGCGCCGACTAAAACCCCATGGTGTTCCACAATCGCCGCATATTGGCAGGACCACGGCAACGCTTTCGCACATATCCGTGGGCCCACCGGCGGTGGCCGTCCCATGGTAGCCCCTCCTCGGAAGAGGATCAGGAATAAGGCTCGCCTTACTCCGCGGCCTCTTGCTCTACTTGCATAACGGATTTCCCTGAGTCCGATACGCGGAGGCCATGGAGCCAAGCAAAAACGGGCACACGAAAGCACCAGCTTTCCTGACCAGATCAGGTTCGGTTCAGGTTTCAGATCTGGTTCATGGCTCCGGCGCTTTGGCCACGGATGGTAGGGAAAGCGGCGCCTCGCAATACACACTTTTCTCATCCCGCGTCCCCACCAGAGTCACGGAGGATAGGGTGAGCGAGTGGTGCATCGCCATACCAGCACTCCTCTTCCTCCGCCACACAACGATCGGGTAGGAGGACACGCCTCTTGCCACAACCCACCAAGACACATACAAATTGGGCTCACCGAGACCACTTTTAGTGGCCACCTCGGACAGGCCCTTCACTTCGGGCCAGCCATATGGGTTCTTCTCAGTTTATCATGGGTGACCAAGCCAAGGCTATTAAGGCCCCTCGCCCGTATAAGGCGGAGATCTGATCAGGGCGGAGAAGCACCCACTTATCTTAATTAACCCGTGCCCGAACTACCTAACGTTCATACGATTAAAACAAAGGCAGGTGTAAGATATATATTTAGAGAAATGGGATCAATCACAAGAGAAAGAGACATGAAAACGAATCTTGAATTCTTGGCACATTAACCAGCTCCGATCGGCCAATGAACGAACTGCGCAAATCTGCCAGTAATTTTGCACTAATTTGTATGTTGCCATAAACAATGTCGTTGACGTCAGCATCGAGATTCACACTCTTAAGCACGCACTCTACTCTGTGCTACCGTGACTTTATTACTATTATTACAGCCATTCACAAGGCCACTGCTGAACATAGGCCTCCTTCAAGGAATGCCACAAAGCACGATCCTTTCTTGCATCCATTCACTTTTTGCATATCTTTCCAGGTCGCCACTCTATCTTATTAAAGTGTTGTTACTTAATAATCAATGTTTTTAAACTTACTATAAGCCTCTCTAGGATACGGATAGGTCCCACCGAACATAAGTGCTTCAGTTGTTACTAGAGCGTAAAAGAACACTGCGATCATCATAAAAGGTGTTATGATACCCCAGCAAATACGCCAGTAGAATGATGTTTTCAATCCCAACATAAATTCTATATCTAAGCACAAATTTTCGAGACCTGGAAAAATAGAGTGGTTGTTATTTTATTTTTCGCCATGAGTTATTAATTAAAAATGACTGACAAAACCGTAGACGGCATAAGTTGCATATTAACTTCCATCCTCTATAATATTCTTATTATTTGTAATGAGTGTCATTACGAAAGCATGCGATGTTTTTAAAAATTTGATTTTTATTAATTCCAATTTGCTTATTAGTGATTAAAATGGAAATTATTATTAATTTTACCGTAAATCCAAATCACACCAATGGTTTCGACGATAGCTGCAAACAGTCTCATGAATGTTCCACCGTAATAGTCAACTAATTCTAATATATATTGACCACCCTAAAATACAGAATAATTAATTTTTATGTTCATATAGCCATTTTTAAGCTTTTTCTAGTGCAAGTAAGTAAATTAACATGAACATAATATTATGTACTATGTTTGTATATATGTTTAGTTTTATGCTTACCGGAGTAACGTAGACGAGGCCTAACAAGAAGCCGACTGTACACCCCATAGCGGACATATACACAGTGGGAATGCGGGGAAAGGCATCGAGGAGCACCGTATTAATAGTCGATAGCAGTGCGACGCCGGATCCCACGCCCAACACAGCCATCATTAAGAAAAAGAGGACAGCGAATAGCTGGAATCATTTAGAACAGGTAAGTTATGACGTAGGAATGTTCTTGTCAAGTTGTAACATCTTGTCTGCTTTTATTTAAAAAAAAATAAAAATAATAAAATAAATTTAATTTTGTATTTATTTGACAGTGAAAATATCTCCGAAAGCTGATGTATAAATTAATAAAATCTATATGTATGTTTTGATTATGTACCTAGGTACAAAATCTCTAACAACGTTAATTTGTAGAAGGCGGTATTTCCACTGTAAAGTACAGGCATTCTGAGAAATAGAACAAAATTGAAATAGGAGTTGACGAGATTCAAAATATTATGTTCGACACATATAGTATTCTCGTTTAGCGATGTTTTGTTTAATTGCCGAGCAACAAGTTAACATTGAATATTATTTGTATTTTTGCAAACACCGGGGACCAACCTCAGATTGCTAGTTGGCTTTGAAGTTCTATAACGGCTGGGTAGCGCAGAGATGTTAATGAACCTACCTGCGGAACTGCAGGTGATTTAGCGATGGCGTCCGGATAGGATATGAATGCAAGGCTTGTACCGCCGGTACCAATAACCTTGCTAACATCGTCGTAATTAAGCTCGTAAGCTAGGTTTCCTAAAACTCCGAAAATTGTAATGCCAGATATAAGACTTGTAAAGGTATCCAGTGTAGTTACGATCATAGAATCCCTGAAATGTGTGAAGCAATTGATTAGATATCTTTAAGTAATTGTGCCGATATTTTCTTAGAATCATGTGATCTTTTATAGGTAAAACTTCTTCTTAAACAATATGTAAAGGACACGGAATATCAATAACAAGAAAATAAAAACAGAAAGAAATTGTTTCTGGTCTTGGCATCCTCATAATCTCGATAATTGGACCTATCCTTCTAGTTAATATTCGTTTTAATAATTTTAGAAATAATTTTCAAATAATTTAGATATTAATGTTAACTTGCGATCCGACCGGTTTTGCCTGTAATTTATTACCGCCATTTTTGTCATAATTTAGATTTAAGGTAAACGTCAATGACCATTTAAGTTATTAGTTTTGCGATTTCACAAAAAAAAAATCCAAGCTTTTTGGATTAAATATAGTCTAGGTCACTCCTATCATTGCTCTCTATCTGTTCTTGAAGCCTAATAATCGGCACAGTCTGCCTGGCGCAGTGGCTTTGTTTGTGTGGTAGTGGTAGTGTTACGGCGCTGAGAGCCGCGGGTTGGAATCCCGCACGGAACAAGTAGATGACGGTAATATTCTGGAAATTATCCGATTTGAAACGACCATTATCTTACTATAAGGTATGAACGGCATTTTTTGTTTTTCAGATTTAATATAATTTATAATATAATTTACTATAATTTTCAACCAAATATTTTTTTTATAGGATAGGGTGACAAACGAGCACACAGTCCACCTGATGGTAAGTGGTTGCTGTGGCCCATAGACATGTACATTTATCCTCGTTTGCGAATCAAAATGCAGATGCGTTGTCACCAGTAAAAAGTGTCTCCGGTTCTCTACACTCATCATACGAAACACAGCAGTGTTAAGCTGCTACTTTACGCTGGTATTCTGTGAGAGCGTGGTCCTTCCCCGGTCGAGCCGACCCATTCGTGCTACAACTATACTAATAATATAGCTGCAGCATGGCTCTACCACGTAAAATAAATGTTACAATTCTTATTTTTAAACATGTGAAGCCTAAAAACTTTTGGTGTACTAAATCAAAATAATATTTTCTTTCCATTAAAATTGCTTCATAATTAATATCGCCATCTACATCTTTCTATAGTTTTAATCATTTTATCGAACCAAAATCGATGGACTCTCAAGGTGGTAAGTGCGATAGTCGCTAGATGGCACAAACACAAAGATCTGATTTTTGCATTTGCTTTGCTGAATATTTTTTTGAATAACGACTTTATTTTTATCTGGGGCGCCTTTTCATTGCCTATACTTGCAGCACCTAACTAGCACTTAATTCCTTGCTATTAATATTTATCGTATATCTAATAACTTCATTGTGTTGCCAGCGATACGTTTTGCTAGCAACGCAAATTTCAATGGTTCGTTGCGGGGAAAATTTTGCAGCAACTAATTTTTAAACTTGGTACTTTATTAGCACCTAAAACGCCCATAATTTGGACATTTTTTAAAAGCAAATTTCGATTCTATTTTGATTTTCAGGAAATCTGAATTTTGCGTCTGCTATGTTCTGAATAAGGACTTTATTTTTATTAGGGGCGCCTTGTTATTGCGTATACTTGCAGCACCTAATTAGCACTTAATTCCTTGCTATTAATATTTATCGTATATCTAATAACTTCATTGCGTCGCTAGCGAGACGTTTTGCTAGCAACGCAAATTTCAACAGTTCGTTGCGGTGAAAATTTTAGAGCACCTAATTTTTAAACTTGGCACCTAATTAGCACCTAAAAAGCCCCTAATTTTGGATTTTTCCAAATGCAAATTCCCGACTTTGCGTTGCTGGCGAGACACAACTGGATTCGAAACCTTTCGAGTTCGCGGTCTACGCCCTGCCATTAGGCTACTTACCCTTAAATTGGCAGCTATGACGTCAAAATATGACGTCACGTCAGTTCTATTCTTATTTGAATCGTACAGTACTAAAGGGAATTTGTAACTATATTACTTCCATCAAAAATATTGTTGATTGAAGCTATATTATATTAAAAGGTAGGTACTAACGCTTTCGAGTAAGATAAAGCAGCCAACAGTACCGGATTTCGAAGGATAATAATCGCAACGGCCACGTTTTTGTTCTACAACCGTTTCGTCGCTTTAGATTAATAAATACTATATGATGAAGATCATATAAGCTTTGAGTTAAAGTTTTAACTTCATGTGCAATAGGCATAAATATTGCAATTTTTTATGGAAGCTCTATTACATTTTGATATTCTGTTCTAAAATCCCTGAGACGTCATTTAGTGGGTCATTTTACTAAATTAATGTCAATTAAGATAAGATAATTGTTGAACGTAATATTGTTGTGACGTCAGCAATAAGAAATTTTATGTTATCATAGTACCTACGTATATTAATATTGTTGTTACATTACAAAGCAAGTTTTGTTTATTACTGAATTATTTGAACGCGTCTTTTGTTAATTTAACGGTGTCATATGGTTTGATAATATATATAAGTCATAAAATATTTATTTACGACGATAATTATTGATCGTAATTACGCTAATATAATTACGTTCTTTATCAAAGCTTAAATTGTCGCACAATCGATAAGATCTACTTTAATGTGTGGTAACATACATAGACGAAGAATTATAATATTATTAAACAAGTTAAAATGTTTAGAAGTAAAGACTTATAAATATATAGAGCTACTATGCAGAATACCAGTGTAAAATAGCAGCTTAACACTGCTGTGTTTCGGTGAGTGTAGAGAACCGGAGACCCTTTTTACTGGAAAAAAGGCATTCCATCTTAGTCCTCACGGGTGACAACGCATCTGCATTTTGATTCGTAAACGAGGATAAATGTAGGTGTCTATGGGCCACGGCGGCCACTTGCCATCGGGTGGGCTGTGTGCTCGTCTGTCACCCTATCTTATAAAAAAAAAATGCAGTTAAATGGTATTATATCTTTGATACCAAAAACAGAAATTTAATATCACTTCTATACCACCTGTACTTTTTACCTTTACATTAACAAGCAACTGCCAATCGAAATTCATAAAGTAATGCAAAGCTTTTATTCAACGAAATACATGTCTCATTTTATTTTTCGACTAACTTACCTGTAAACGTTTTGTTTAAAGTCATTGTATGATGAAAACATAATGAGGGCCCCTGAACACACTGATAAAGAAAAAAACACTTGTGTGACTGCCGCGTACCATACCTAAAAAAAATAATTAAGTACAACTGGCGTATTACTAAAAGATTTTTAATACTATTATAACAAAACCAGAGTCTATACGTGGTAGAGCCATGCTGCAGCTATATTACTGGTATATTTGAAGCACGAATGGGTCGGATCGATCAGAGAAGGACCACGCTCTCACAGAATACCAGCGTAAAATAGCAGCTTAACGTTGCTATGTTTCGTGTGGTGAAAAAGAAAACCGGAGACTCTTTTTACCGGAAACGAGGCATTCCATCTTAGGCCTCACGGGTGACAACGCATCAGCATTTTGATCCATAATTGAGGATATAAATGTAGATGCCTATGGACCAGATCATCCACTTACCATTATGTGGACAATGTGCTCGTTTGTCACACATATCCTATATAAAAAGTCATTAATTTAAATATGTGTATGAGGTCATTAAGACTAGGTTACCGTAAAGGCACCCTTTTTAAATCAATTTTACAAACTGAGGTCTTGAGGCTTAAAAATATGGCTCAGTCAATATCTATTCTAGTTCAGACGAAACTGCTATTAGAAATTTTGTTACATTTTGCTTAATAAATGATCTGAAGCTACATCTTTTTCTAATATTTTTTTTTTAGTTTTAACCAAACGATAGTAAAATTATAATAAAAATTGCGTGCTCTTTAGGATCTGATTCTGTCATTACTAATTCGTAAATAAATTTGTGTATATTGTTTTTACAGATAAAAATATAAAGGACATTTACATATGTTAAGTGGCAACCAACATGTTCGCGATGCTTATAACGCATCGGCTGGGATGTGCTAAATGCCTACTCGACAGTATAAGAGGGCCTTAAGAAGAATTTTTATAGTATCAATAAATAAAACGTAGGGATTATATACTCATTTTCAAAAACTTTTAAAAATATGTCATATTTTCATTTTAAGTCCATTCTATATACATGTATATTCGTGCTCGGGGAGGCATATGTTGAGCAGCGGACATTACAGGCTGTATTGGGTTAATGGACGGTTAACTGCGACGGTTTAATCCATATAACGTTAGTTTAACGACTAAAATATATAAGAAACAAAGTACTTACTTTAATTTCTAAAATTTTCTGCCACTCTGGCGTTATAAAAAACAGTATTCCATTACCGGCCCCAGGCAGAGTGACAGCACTGTAAAATTAAATTAATTAGCTTCATAAAGTAATATTTTAAATTAGTTTTCAAATTGCAAGATACTCTTACCGGATGAGCAATATGAACAAAACTACGTATGGAAATAAAGCAAGGAAGTATGCAGCTTTGCCAGAGCTCTTTACACCTCGAGCGACGATAAAGAATATGATTATCCAAGATGCCAGCAAACATAGTGTGAGGTCCCATAAAGGAGCACCTGAAAAATAATATTTTTTTTAAATTTAATAATCTTCTAATTATATCTAATAATATGATGTTGTTTTGCGATTTTTAATAGTCTTAAATATGTATTTCAATATTTAATTATGATTATACTATGGTATAATATATTTTATGAGGCAGTACTTATATTTCATTTATCTATGAAATTGTTTAAATAATGCGTCAAATTTTTCTTCTGGGATAGGTTATATCCAATAGCTAATAATGATCAGTAATAATAGGACAGAGAATTATTAAGAAACACTTACCGATTCCATCATCGATTCCAATTGATTGTCGAAGAACAGTACGTCTACAACGGAAAAAGATTTTTATTTAAATAGTTTTTTTTTAAATTCATTGAAATAAATCATTGTAAATAGAATATAAAAAGATCTCATGGTCTCAGATAGTGTCAGTATAACTGTTTCAAATATTATATTGCCAAATTTAAAATTTTGAGTCCAAAGAAGTCAAAGGCGAGAGACTTCTGATATCCGATATCTGATAAGTAAATATTAAAGTTATAAATGTTATGAAAGCTAACATTATTCCCAAGCGGCAAAAGAAAATCTTTCATTATCTTATTATATTGTTATGGTACCGCGGCCCAGAAATGAGAATATTATTGTATGCGAGACAGAACTCGCACCTTGTAAAGTTGCAGGCGGTGTGTTTGCGTAAAATACTGTCCTGCTGTAATCAGCATGCTAACTTTTTAGAGACCATGAATACCAGCGTAAAATAGCAGCTTAATGCTGCTGTGTTTCGTATGGTGAGTGTAGAGAACCGGAGACCCGTTTTACTGGAAAAGAGGCATTCTATGTTAGTCCTCACGGCTGATCTGCATTTTAATTCGTAAACGAAGATAGATGTAGATGTCTATGGGCCACGGAAACCATTTACCATCAGTTGGACTGTGTGCTCGTTAGTCACCCTTATTTTATAAAAAAAAAACAATTGACCTTCTCTTATAAGTGACTGTGGAACTGAACATCACTCGACATGTTGATGCCGAAAATTCTGATTATATTTTAAAGTGAAAAACAGTTGTACAATTTAATAAAATAATGACACAGTTTGAATTCATAGAAGTTGTGAAATGCGAAAAAATTTCATAACAATTTTTTTTTGATAATGTTGTAAAGCTTTATAGGTACGTCCGACTCCTGTGCACAGGCTTGCTTTAAATGTAGAGAGATCTAGGGCAAGGATGAGTCCATTGCGCTGCGAAAATGCGTGTTGACGCGATTTTATAATTTTTAAAATCTTTATATCGAAACGTCAACAGGTAATCAATAAAGAGGAAATAATTATTAAAGATTTCATAATTGGTCCAGTAAATTTGTTTCAGTCAAGTTGCCTTATTACCTATCATAGTTCCAATATTCCTTTACACTGTGGCGGCGCTGTCGTCGCGCCACAAGCGAAACATATCGAAGCTTAAATCGTGCTAACAAAGTTCCGAAATCAAAACAGTATATATAAAATAACTCCGAACTACCACTCAGAGCGTAGGCCGCTCCCCGGGCAGAACACCTTGCCCGGCGGGAGATCTCCCCTTTTCCTTCCACCCGCCACAGTGGTGACCAACCAACGTAATCTGAACACGCAACCAATAACCTTCGGAAACTACAACTTCAAATCTTCATCATCCTCAAGTACCCCATTCATTCGCTCCCGAGCTGATATTGTCTGCAGTCTTCACATTCTGCAAGCCATCTAGCTTTACAAAGGTTCATCGCAGCACTGGAATAATAATGCTTCCTGTTCATTCAAGCTACTCTCTGCGCTACAGTGTTCGGCACGCCTCTGAGCCTTACTGCTCGCCTCTGCTTCACGGCACTCACGCAGATTACTTGCCTTCTTCTCGACCCACCGCAGACTTAAAAGGCAATTCCATGGCACTTGCAAATTCGTCGACATCTAGACTGCACTGTCGACCTCCGGTCTGAGCAGGGGGGTGATGTGGCGGCGCTGTCGTCGGGCCACAAGCGAAACACATAGAAGCCTAAATCGCACTAACAAAGTTCCGAAGTTAAAGCAGCATATTATACAAAATAGCTCCGAACTACCAATCGGAGCGTTGGCCGCTCCCCGGGCAGCACACCTTGCCCGGCGGGAGATCTCCCCTTTTCCTTCCACCGGCCACAACACTGAGCCATTTGTGTAATTCTCTTTTAAATTTAATGAACGCTAGGTCATTTAATGAAAGTATATTTTTACGCACGATTCAATTGGATTATCTTAGATTGTATGTGTATCTGATTTTTATTTAGTAGCTTTGATTTCCTACACTTAGTGGTTCTGTTAAATAATAATTTACATACGTGAAGTATAGCTCTGCACTGCTAACCGGGTCACCTTGCATCGAACTCATATTTACAGCTTCTCCTGAAGGCACGCAGTTATCCCATTCTGGTTTACAAAGAGCCCAAGGCAACGGAGATTGGAAACTCATTGCCAAGTAAAAGAAACATAATGCTATAATGGATACGTAGTAAGACAGCACGTACCCGGCACTCAAAGCTTGTGCATATCCCGTACCTAAAATAATAAAATAGTTTTTATTAAATTTAATATTAACATACAAAAATAATTGCAATCGAAAACGAACAAAGAAATGTCAGAATTGATAAAAGATCTGTTCCTTGCAATGTAATGTTTAATAGAATTTAATTTCTTAACTAGTAATAGATACCTTTCATTGCAGGTGACAATGCCCATACTTTGACGCAGTTGCTGCTACTAAATTGCCCAAGAACTGTTTCTAAGTAGTACATGGCCTTGCCGATAAGTAGAAGTACCAAAATATACGGAATGAGAAAAGCCCCTCCTCCATTTTGGTATGCTACAAACGGAAAACGCCACACGTTGCCCAAACCCACTGAAGTGGCTATGCACGACATGAGAAATTCCAATTGATTGTCCCATTTCGGCCGTTCCAAAATATCTTCTTCACTTTTTTCCTAGAAGAGTGAACCGGAAACTTTTTAGTCCAATTTCTACTGTACTACAAAGGCCTGTGCACATCGTGTGATATTAATTTTACGTTAGCATCAAAACTATGGGGCCATTAAAGAGCTGTAAGTACCAATAAGATATGTTGTCTTTTATACTTTGATTGCAAATGTTTATTAAATGCATTGTATACAATACTACAATCTACAATCAATTCTAAATAATTTATCCAATCTTAAAATTAGCGTAAATTCATATAAATGTTTTGTTTATTTGTTTAGCTCATACTATAGTGAACGATAAGATTTTATTACATTTTTAATATGACGATTTTGTTCCAGAATCTCCTCTTCATTCAAGAACAGGATATGTTTTAAAAGACGTAAGCTTCCTTAGCCAAATTTAAGAAAAGATATGCCTGAGATAAATTAAAAGTTTCGATAATGTTATTATTAAAAAGATTGAACGCAATAAAAATGAAATCTAGTTTCATTACTAAAACATAATTAAAAATTAAAATTTATGTACAACCGATTTCAATATAAATTATTAAGAATAACTCAAATACTATTGGTCAGACCTTGATCAAATTTCTATGGGACCACATGGGAAGCACCAGCTTTCAAATAAAAAAAGAAGTTCACTCAATAAGAAGTTATGAGGTAACACACATAAAAGGAACATATAGTGGAATTGAGTACGGCTCCTTTTTGAAGTCGGTAGAAAAGAATCATCGAAATCGGTTCACCTAGAAAAAAATTATAGAAACAAATACGTATAGTATAACGTATATAATAAAAACTATTGATCTGACCTTTATCGAATTCATATGGGACCACATGTGAATTACCGGCTTTCAAATAAAAAAAGAATCATCGAAATCGGTTCATCCAGTAAAAAGTTATAAGGTAACACACATAAAAAAGCATACAGTCGAATTGAGTACCGTCTCCTTTTTGAAGTCGGCAGATAATTAACTTTATTTCTCGCTATGGTAGTAAAATACTTACCGTTACTCCTGCCGATTCAATATCTTTTTTAGACTGCGGTACAGTAGTTACATTCTCAGTGGACGCATTGAATCCCTTATTCCATTGACCTCCTTTGTCAACATCTTTCGATACATCATTTTGGGATTCCTAAAACGTTTTTAAAGTCATATATTAAACAAAATATTTTAAAATAATATAAAATTCCATATGATAGTAATCCATTAAGAGGTCACCATTGAATACAAATGTATGTATGATGCGCTACACGCGCGAACGTCGAAAAGACTTTGATAAATATTATATATTTCATATTTCTTGCAAAATAATGAAATGTAATCAACAGATAGCTGTTTAAGATATTAAAAATCTATCTACTATCAATTTAAAACAGATAAGTTATAATCGTTACGTCAACACAATTTTGGAACAGTACGTATCTATTGCTATGAATATAATTAAATCACGCTGAAATGCTTAGAAGACCGTTCTTTTGAAAATTCTAATTATCTATTTAATTTAGTTTCTTTGAGTAGGTGCTTTAGGCGGGAAAGTACAGCTATTAAGTATACTTTTTCAAGTAAACTCTTACTGTATTTTGTAATTTTTCAAATATTGTCAAAATATATTTTTATAATCATTAACTATAAAAATATCTTATCAAAGGTTTACCGTTATCAACAATTTGTAAACAGTCCACATCTGAATGTAGGCTTTTCCTGCCTTATGTAGGATTAGCTGTATATATATATATGCACACCGGCACAATTAGCGGAACAGAAAAAAAGTGAGACTATGAGATAATAACGCATATATTTGACGAAAATGTAATTAGACACAAAATAACAAATTGATTAACATCTTTTAACAACGACTTTGAAAAGTCTTCGTTATTTTTTATTGAAAAATAAAAAAATTTGAAATAAGTGAAATTTTTAGATGATTATGAACCATCACAAAAAATAAAAAAAGTAAGCATTAAATGACTTAACAATAAAATTAAAGCAAAATTAATAACGAGTGTTTCTCCCTCTTGCTCTGATTACGGTTTCCATTAGTCTGGGCATGCTACATATTATGTTATCGATGATTTCTTGAGGCAACCGCTCCCACTCCTAAAGTAATGCGTTTCCAAGTTCATTCAGATTGTTGGGGGGTGGCATTCTAGATTTAACCCTTCTTTTTATCAAGTCCCAGACATGCTCTATCGGATTCATATCGGGGGAATTTGCTGGCCACTGCATCACCGGTATACCTACGTGGCTCAGATATGCCTGTACCGATTGTGCACTATGACCACGAGCATTATCTTGCATTAGAATAAAGTCGTCACCAATAAATGGGGCAAATGGTACAACATGTTCTTCTAAAATGTCTCTGATGTATCGATTTGCTGTCATGGTCACTCCTGTGACTATCACTAACTCCGTGCGAGCTCCCAAACATATCCCTCCCCAAACCATAATCGAGCCGCCACCATAAGCCACTGTGTGTTCAAAATTAGACTGTATGTGGCGTTCTCCTTTGCGTCTCCATATTCGCTGTCTCCCATCGATCTGTTTTAAAAGAACTCTGCACTCATCAGTAAAGAGAACCTGCTGCCATTCGTTCAAATCCCAATGACGATGTTCTCGCGCATAGCTTAATCGGTTTACGCGGTGACGTCTCTCAAGTTTTGGGCCTTTGGCAGGTATATACGACCCTAAACCAACTTCTTCAAATCTCCTGCGAACTGTACGCTCACTTACTCGTACTCCTCGAACGTCTTCCAGTTCATTTCGAGCTTGTACAGCCGTTAATCGCGTATTAGACAACAACCGAACTAATATTATAATCGGATGTAAAATGATTTGCAGGCCAAACAATGAGTGTTTTGCTTGTTTTTTATGTAATTAAAGGAAAATAATTGTAACAAAAATCTTCTGAAAATCACTTGATTGCACATTTTTAAGAAAATACATTTTTTTTAGTGAAATCGATTATTTTAATGATCGATTATTAAGACTGTAATCACAATTATTATTAATGTACCAGAACAGAACCAGCCTCCAACTAAAAAAATGGCGACGTGTTTTTGAACTCAATCGGCTTAAATACTTATTAAACGACTTATTTTTATATTTACTTTACTAATACGACAATCAAAATAATATTAATTTTAGATTTAATTATAATTTTTCGTAAAAATACTTTTTACAGAACAACTTGTCCACGTTAAGCTAATGGTCCCCACACACGGTCAGTTAAACTGACATCAGTTCAACTGATCATTTCAAACGGATTTAATCCAAAACAATTTCGACACACACGATCAGTTCAACTGATCATTCCAACTGATCAGTTCAAACTAGGACTGTTGATATTTTTAAAATATCGGATTTACAATATATCGATAATTATAAATATATCAATATCGGAGTTTTATATATCGAAAACATAAGCGATATATCGATGCTTATTGCTTAAAAATGATTTACACAGTTTATAATTATAAATGAATGAAAATGTTAGGTTATAATTCTTAGTAATTATTAATAAGCCGTGGTAGCTCAGATGGTTAGCGCCCTTTGTAAATTTCACAGTATGCGAGCAACCCGGGTTCGATCCCCGTCAGCACCAATGAAATTGTTAATTGCAATTTTTAAGTGCTGATTTACCAGGTGCTCGACGATGAAGAAAAACATCGTGAGGAAACCTGCATGTCTGAGAAATAAAATAAAAATTTCAAAAAACACGAAGTTCGCCAACACGCATTGGGCAGCGCGGCGGACGTTGCCCTAAAACCCTCTCAGAAATTAGGAGAGGCCTGCCCAACTGAGGAGTGCCCAGCATTGGGACATATAAGGCTGTAACTTTAACTTTAATTATTGTTTAATTTAAATAAGGCAATTATGTTTACCAATATTTTCAGTAAGAGTTTTTAAAAATACTCGTTGTTTTATATGTTCAGCTGTTTCAATACTGCGATTATTGGGCACTAAAAGATTGACTGTAGAAGTAATTCGTTCAGATGCTACGGATGCAGCTGAAGAAATCGAATATTTAACAGCTATTTCTGATAGCACGGAAGTAAATCATAAGACGCCTAAGCGATTAAAATAACTTGAGGCTTATACCAACATCGAAGCACTTATTTTGTCGTTTTCTCTAATAGCTCACAGATACTTAATACACATAATCGCATCACTTTAATAAAAATCCACTTCAAACGATTATTTAAACGACAGGAGCAACCACCCGTCGATGGTCAAGCTCCTGCCAAAACTCACAGTAAGTAACGTAGTACAAAGTTTAATACATTTCTTTTTAAGATAATAAGCAAATAAATAAACTTTGGAAAAATGAAAAACATAATATAGTGTAAATAAAGTATAGTAGATTGGGCCCATCAAGGGTTAGGATTCAAGTTTACGATGGTGTTGTAGATTAAATGATTTACGTGAAAAAATAAAATATTAAATTATTTAAAAAAATATATCGACTGTCGTATATGTATATTTCAATATCAAACTTATATTTCAATATATGTCGTCCAAAAATATTAGAAATAGATATCGATATTTCTAAATAATAAAATAGATGTTTCGATATATCGATATTTTATCAACAGCCCTAGTTCAAACGTGTGGCGTGGCCGTGGGCGTTTGGTTTGTGTGACTCCTATAAAATATCATATATATTAGATAAATTAAATGATATTTAATAATATCTAAATATTATTTAATATCATTTCCTGTCTATTAATATATATCTATACAAATAAATAAAATTGAAGTGTCTGTTTGTAATGTCAAAATAACAGTTTTTTACTAAATACATATGAAAGTACATACGGTACTTATAACAAAAACACAATTTTTAAAATTTTTATCTGTCTTTCTGTCTGTCTGTCTGTTTGTTCCGGCTAATCTCCGATCGGCTGAACCAATTTTAACGAGACTTTCAGTGGCAGATAGCTGATATTATAAGGAGGAACTTAGCCTACTTTTAATTTAGAAAAAGAATGAGGGTTCCGCGCAAAAACATTAAAACCCATGAAATCCAATCGTAATAAATTACGCGGGCGAAGTTGCGGGGAACAGCTAGTTAATAGATAGGAAATGATATTTTTAATTTATAAAAGTCACGCCAACTAAACGCGCACGGCAGCGGCCCTGTCGATCGAGAAATGAAATCCGTTCCGTATATATATATAAATATCGTTTTCTATATATTAACACTTCAAAAGATATTTTTATTCATGATTAGGCCAGTATTAAGACATTTTTAAGAAATGGTCAGATATTATGATAATTTTATTCATTATGGTAAATTTTGAATGAATGTATTATTTATTTTTATTTTTTACCCCACCTTCTTAGTTCACCATCATGAAGGTATTATAATCACATTGAACTAGGTCTTTATAAACCCTTTCAAATGAGTTCAAACACGATCATTCTACTTAGTGCCGTCCGCTTTCGGATTGCACCATCAAAAAGGTGAGGCCATAACAGTCACCTAGGTCCATATGAGCCCTTTCAAATGAGTTGAAACACGATCGTTCTATCTAGTCATGCGTCAGATATTATGATAATTTTATTCAATATGGTAAATTTTATTTATTTAATAAAGGTGTTATTTATTTTTATATATTTATTAAATTACCTATCTGTAGAGCGGGCGACACCATACTGATACTTACTTGCACTCTGGTTACGGTGAGGTCAAAAAGGTCCGTGGGCATGGGCACATTCTGATGGTCTTATGATCACCAGATATTGCTTAACGGTTTTCAGTAACGGAAATAGTTAGGATGGCTTTCTATGTTTTTCTAATTGAGCTCTCGACGCGTTACATACTAAAATAAAGTTGAAGCACCCAAACGTCACGAATGAAAATAAGTTAAACAAAATAAAATCCGAAAAATTTATTTTATTAAATGTGTAGTATTCGTATAATAAATCAGTCAAAAATCATTGAAATCTAAATACTGAGTACAGGTAACTTGGTCATTTATAGGAATTGGTGTTAACTTGTAGGTTTTCTTGAAGTACGCAGATATTTTCGTCTTCTGGTTGAAGTTGGTTATACTTTTTCCGTTCTGCCTTGTTTTTATTGCCTATCTAATATATGGTCGATTTCTAATTTTGTACCTACTTGGAAGTTTTGCCGCTTTTTTAATTGCCTGAAAACATTATAAAGTGAGTAATAATACTGTTTGTACTATTTATTATATTTATATTATTTGTGTAGGTACTTCTTGTACCCTTTGAAATGAGCCCAAACGCGGTGGTGTTTCGTAGTGGCATAACTGAGATCTTTTACCACACCTTCTTAGTCCACCATCATGAAGGTAATATAATCACATTGAACTAGGTCTTTATAAACACTTTCAAATGAGTTCAAACACGATCGTTCTACCTAGTGCCGCCACTGAGATCCTATATCCACCTTCGGATTGCACCATCAGAAAGGTGAGGTCATAACAGTTACCTAGGTCTTTATGAGCCCTTTCAAATGAGTTCAAACACGATTGTTTTATCTAGTGCCGCCACTGATTTCCTATACCCACCTTCGGATTGCGCCATTAGAAAGGTGAGGTCATAACAGTCACCTAGGTCTTTATGAGCCCTTTCAAATGAGTTCAAACACGATCGTTCAATCTAGTGCCGCCACTGAGATCCTATACCCACCTTCAGATTGTACCATCAGAAAGGTGAGGTCATAACAGTCACCTAAGTCTTTATGAGCCCTTTCACATGAGTTCAAACACGACCGTTCTATCTAGTACCGCCACTGAGATCCTATACCCACCTTCGGATTGCACCATCAGAAAGGTGAGGTCATAACAGTCACTTAGGTCTTTATGACCCCTTTCAAATGAGTTCAATCACGATCCTTCTATCTAGTGTCATCACTGAGATCCTATACTCACCTTCGGATTCCACCAACATAAAGGTGATATCATAACAGTCATCTAGGTCTCCATTTATCTATTTGAAAATGAGTTCAAACACGATGGTTCTACGTAGTAGCATCACTGAGGCCCTTTACCCACCTTCTGAGTCCACCATAAGGAAGGTGACATCATTACAATCACTTTGGTCTCCATCCTCTGTCAAACCAACTTCTCTAAATATATAAAATAATATAAAATCTAAACAGCATACAAATAATGTTATAAAAAAAATATAAAATATAAATAAAAGCTACTAAGAAAGTATGTACTTACCAATAATGGAAACGAACTGAAGCCAGCGGATTACGGTGCGCCCGGAAAAATACGTGGGCTGCCGTCAGTTAAACATTTTAACTTAAGATTTCACATTCACGATCAGTTTTTGGATGTACGTCAGTTCAACTGAGCGGTTTAACTGATAGCACGCTCGGAAAAATCCGTGTGTTGTCTTCAGTTAAAAATTTC